ATGATGACGTGGAGCGATGGAGCAGCTGGAGACTTTAGATCCAGAGAGGGAGAGCGACTGTGTGCTGAAGACCTGGGGGGTACGGGGAAGGATTGCATGGAGGGGATTGTAACCATGGCAATGAGAGGATATACGATAGAATGAATGTAAAACTAATGTTCTCCCATGTAAACTATCACATAATTCACAATAAAACATTTAAGAAAAAGAAAAAAAGAAAGCCCTATAGAGCAGTTCTACTGTGCGACACATGTGCTCACCATGAGTCGGAATCAATTAGATGGTAACAGGTTTTGTTTTGTTTTGTTTTGTTTTCATAAGACTGGATGGGGATTCGATGAGTTCATGGAAGTAGAGTTATTGAAACAGTCCCAGGTGCATTGGGAATAAATGTTAGTTATCATTAAAAAAAAAAAAGTACTGCTACAAAATCATAGCAACTGCTGTTACACAAAAATAATAGCAAAATGTAAAGTTACTGTTTCTTGACGTTTCCTTTACTAGGTCTATACACTTTGAAGGTGATGTTTACATCTCTCTAACCCTAATATGTATGTATGTATATATGTATATATACACAGCATGCCACCACCATATCTATATAGATATGGTGGTGGTGTGCCGTGGAGTCAGTTCCAACTCAGTGACCCAGCATAAGGTTTCTGAGGCTGTAAATCTTTATGGGAGCAGAAAGCCTCATAGACAGATGGATGGATGGATGGATGGATGGATGGATGGATGGATGGATGGATAGATAGATAGATAGATAGTTGTTGCTGAATGCCACTGAGTTGTTTCCAATTTATCGAGACCCTGTATGGTGTTTCTAAGGCTGTACATCTTTGTTGGAGCAAGAAGCCTCATATTTCTCCCATGGAGCAGTTGAGTTGGTGGGCTCAAACCACCGACCTTGTAGTTCACAGTCCAGGGCTTATGGTATAAAGCCTAGTGTGGCACCATAGGATAAGCGTTTGATGACAACGTCGATTTGAATCACAAGGTTGGTGGTTCAAACCCCCCAACCACTTCTCAGAAACCATATACAGGGTCAGAGCCAACTCGACAGCATTTAACAACATATGTAACTTAACCCACTGCACCACCAGTTCCATTGAATTCCAGCTCTCGTAGGTTTCATTGTATAAAATGTTGATAGAATCAACGTTCTGCTTCACCAATCTGGTTAACTCACCCTGTGCAATGCCATAAAGCTTTGATTCCATGAATCAAGACTCTTAAGATAGGTGTGTACAGATCCAAAAGGTTATCAAACTGTACATTTAATTAGCATGCCTCATTTTAAAAACATTTAAACTGTTTAGTGTAGAAAAAGTTTAGATGTATATGCCTTTTAAGAATTTTATTTTAAGAAAGCATCTGAGATGTAATTTCAACAGGAACTAGACTGCAGTTTAACCCTGCTTTTGAGATGACATCATGAAAACTAAAAGTCGAAACCAGTTCAGGTTTTTATAGATGCTGCCATATGTTGAAAATACCTATGGACAATGAAGACAATGGGCAGCACTCTCAAATTATAATCCTTCAAGCTGGTCCTCTCAGCTCAATGACTTTTATTCATGTACTGTGCTTTAATATAAAAGTGTCATTTATATTTTAAAACCGCATCAATACCAATTCCGGAAGTCTTCTTCCCTTTTGAACCCAGGTTAATGAGAATATCCTATTTCTATTACAACTTGACTTTTCACTTGAAGAGTGGGATTTTTCAACCACTACAAAAAAACACAAACCACCAAACCAGAAAATGTCTGGGGATAGAGCTAGGTAAAAAATGGGAGAAGGAATAAAGTCTAGTCATAAGTATTTTAGTGCCTCCCCGACAAAGTTTTCAAAAAAATTATTTGAACAAGTATTATTGAAGCATTGATTTCGTGCCTATTATGAACACAATCATGGAATCTTGGCATGGTGCTGTAGCATAAGCAAGCACAGGACTGCTAACTGTAAGGTTGGAGGTTTCACTCCTTGGAAACCCTGTATGTGGGGTCGTTCTGAGTCAGAACTCACTTGATGGCACTTAGCAACACTGATGAATTTCTTTTCTTTTTTATTTAATTGTAATTTAGGTGAAAGTTCACATAGCAAACTGGTTTTCCATTAAACAATTCATACACATTTAATTTTGGGTATTTTTGTACTGACCTTGATAGCAATCCTGACACCTAACAGCACTCTTCCCCCCTCCTCACCTCCTGAACTTTATCTCTGGGGAAATGCTGCCCTCGTCTCACGTGGTTGGTTGTTTCAAGACATGTGTAAGGCTCTGATGGTGGTATCCCCTTATAGGCCTGTCTGAAAGTGGTTTGGCTGAAGTTGAGCCATGAGCATGAGGTCAGTTCCAGCTCCTCCCCTCCCCCCACAATATTCTGAGTAAATAATGTACAAATAGTTTTCAAGTTCTCTTAGGATGTAAAAAGAATTTTTAATCAAGGTAATTCTTTTTCAAAAAGTCAGTAGCCGTGGTGGTGCCATGGTGAAGTGCTTGGTGGTTAACCTAAAGGCCGGCAGTTTGAATACACCTGGTTCACTGGGAGAAACGTGTACGTCGGCTCCTGTGAAGATTACAGCCTCAGGGCACTTCCACTCTATCCCACAGGGTCACTGGGAACTGGAATGAACTCAATGGCAATGGGGTACTTGTTATTTTTGTACTAGTCAACGTATTTGAACTAGGAGTTTTGAAAGTCATTTATAAGGGTAATTGGCTACTGCTTGTGGTTGTTAGGTGCCATCATGACGACCCATGTGACAGAGCAGAGCTGCTCCACAGGGCTTTCTTAGCTCTAGCCTTTCCAGAAGCAGACTGTCAAGGCTTTCTCCCGAGGAGCTGCTGGGTGGGTTTGAACCACCAACCTATTTAGGGTAGCAGTTCAGTGTTTAACCATTTATGCCACCAGTGCACCTTGTCTAATACTTGTTGTTAAGTATCAAATCGTTTCTGACTCATAGCCACCCCGTGTAGGGTTTCCGAGGAGCGACTGGTGAGCTTGAAACGGCAACCTTGACGTTCAAACCGACCTTGCAGTCCAGTGCATTAATTCACAGCGCCACACCAGGACTCCTGTGTAATCCTTTGTTGTTGTTGTTATATGCCATGGAGTCAGTTCCAACTCATAGCAAGCCTGCACAAGGTTTCCGAGGCTGTAAATCTTTATGGGAGCAGAAAGCCTTATCATCCTCCTGTGGAACGACTGGTAGTTTCAAACTGCTGACCTTGAGATTAGAAGCCTGATTCATAACCACTACACTACCAGAGCTCCTTGACACTTAGATATGATGGGTATTATTTGAACTATTGAGAAACCTCACTTTGTGCTTAAACAAAAAAACATAAAAGGGTTTTATATAAACATCTAAGGAAAAAGAGGCTCTCTGGCCCTCGGGCTACAAGCTTATCACTGATCCTAATTGACAGGAAAGAAAAACCCACTCAACATCTGTGATAATATATTTAAAATAAAAATTTTACAGCCAGGACAAGTTTGTGATTGGGAAATCGGTACTGAAGACAGAAGAGGCAACAGTGAGAACACTCAGATTCTGGGGTTGAAGTTCTTGACAGTCTAGTGTTTTGAATTCAGGGGCAGAATTTGGTGTGTCTTTTGAGTTCCCGTACAAAGGCCAGAATCTGCAGTCCCTCTAAAGGCTGCTGAAGGACCGTTGAAACCCACAACGCTGTAGAGGGTGTTGCTGACAGGATGGGCATGGAAGAACCTGGAAAGAACCATTGTTGTTGCTAAGTGCTGTCAAGTCAAGCCAGTTCCGACCCATAGCGACCCTGTATAGGGCTTCTGAGGAGCAGCTGGTGAGTCTGAACCACTGACCTTGTGGTTCAAAGTGACCTTAAGGTTGAGTGCTTATCCTACAGCGTGACGTCTGGACTCTGACAAGAACTAGTGAGTCAAACGTAAGGCAGCCCTACCTCTAACCAGCTGTTGTTATTAACTGCCACACCAGGAGTACTCTAATCAGTAGGCATCACAGTTAAGAATCTCATCAACCTAATCAAAATCGAAGGCATACTCAGTTTCTTTTTCATGTTAGTGAAGTCACAGATGATGGATGCATAAGAAATACTAGGGAAAAGTGAAATGAGCAAAAGTATAAACCTTTCAAAATAGGAAACCATCTTTCTCAATGTGTGTCATCACTCTCAAGATTCTAGTTTCCTGGGGACTTCCAACTCAATGGGCTCACTAAAGACAAGACCTTCATGGTGTTTACAGCCAACACTGGAAAGGCACCACTCATTTTCAGGGATGCAATTTCCCAACAGGTATTTGATCTGCATCTTTTTCTTTTATTTCGAATTATCTGACTGTCCTGGTGTGGTACTGTAGGATAAACCACCAGTCATTCTCAGAAACCCTATACGGAGGTCCCTATGAGCCTGAATTGACTCAACAAAACACAACAACAACAACCTGGTTGACATTTTTCTAAGAATATTTAAATCGAACATTCAAATGCAAAGGCCATTCTTGTTCTATATGAACTAACTTTATGTAGAAATAATTACACTGCACTATATATAATTTGAAAGGAGCTCTGGTAGCATAGTGGTTAAGAATCGAGCCGCGAGCCATAAGGTCAGCAGTTTGAAACTACCAGCTGTTCCGCGGGAGAAAGATGAGGCTTTCGGCTCCCGTAAAGATTTACAGCCTCGGAAACCCTGTACAGGGTCGGTATGAGTCGGAACTGACTCCATGGCACATAACAACAACAACAGATATAATTCGAAAGGAAGTCAAACACCCTGCTGTATCAGAGCCCATGTCTGTGTGGACAAAGGTTGACTCCTGTGGCAATCCATTTACCAAGTATTGACTGTGTCCCTGCCACTTGACAGGCACCAGGTGGCCCCTCTCCAAGCAATGACACAACCCCTGCCTCGAGGAAGTAACAGACTAGTGGGAGACCAGTAAACAATCAGAGGCGTGGACGTAATCCTTGAGTTCGTGATTAGCTCCCACAGTCTATTTCCATCTTGTGTTCACCCAACTCAGAATGTAACAGCTACTGGCATTGAAGATATCCCTCTTCAGGAAGCGCTGAGGCTTAGATAAGTCTTTGTAACTGTGGAAAAGCCTGAAATCCTTTAGTTCTAACTCTTTGAGGAGACTGTACCAGAACCGCACGACACTGCTGTCGCTGCCACTGACCTCGAATCCAGGCCAGTGGAGATGGATCTCAAAGACAAGCTGTCCAATCTGCTCGAGGACGTCTTCCAGAATAAGATTTTCCAAAACTTTCCACTCGGCACTCTCTAGGTCTGCCTTTAGAACATCGATCTGTAACAAGCAGATGAAATGAGGTGAGCAGGTTTGAGAAATTGCTGTGAAAAAAATCATCTTGGTTTCAGGAGCCTCAGTTTATAACTACCTTCCAAAGGAGCAGAATTTGTTTTACATTTTAGAGTGAGAGGTCTTTTTTTAAATGACCGTGTATGACAAGAATTTCTAGCCTCACGCAATACCAAATGTTAATATACAAATAATGGGATGCTAGGCAAAAATCAAAGGAGCCCTGGTAACATAATGGATTACGAGCTGGGCTGCTAACCACAAGATCAGTAGTTCGAATCTACCAGGTGCTCCGTGGGAGAAAGATGAGTCTTTCTGCTCCAGTAAAAATGTATAGGCTTGGAAACTCTTCACAGGGTTGCTAGGAGTCAGAACTGACTCAGTGGCACACAACCACCACCAACACCAGGAAAAAAATCAAAATGAAGCCTTCTGCTTTCTGCCCAGTGGGAATGGGTGACTGAAAAGGAGAATGGGCTCTGTGTACCCTGGTGCTCTGTAATTCCAGAAAGTCAGGGAAGATAACACTAAGGGGACTCCTGGTGTGGTGCTGTAGGATCAGCACTGGACTGTGAACCACAAAGTTGGTGGTTCACACACCAGCTGTTCCTCAGAAACCCTGTACAGGGTCACTATGAGCCGGAATCAACTCACGTATCTGGCACTTGTGATCTATGCATTTAATTCTCTCAGCAGTTTTGTGAAGTTGACTTTATTAATATGCCAATTTAAAGATTAGGAGACTAGCTTGGGAGAATAATCGATCCCGTCTCATGCTGGAGGGTCAGTGGTAAAACTTGAACCTAGCCTGTCTACAAAGGCCATACTCTAAATCACTATGCCTTGTTTCCACCCTGACAGCAACAGCAAGAGCAAAAATGGCAACTCAGAGTCTCTAAGAGGCTTTTGGTTTGGAAAATAAGGCGAGATCTGGAGAGCCAATAAGGGTCCATGAGTAGAAGTATATTTTCAACATCACCATTTTATATTTGCAGAACACACAGCAGCTTACAGCAGCATTTTTTACATACATTAACTCAGAACCTACATACATTAACGCAGAACCTCCCAACAGGCAGACAGGGATTTGATAAAAATGAATGTCTACTTCCAAGAGGTAGTAGGGGAAGGGGAAGTTCTCCAGAACACCAAGAAAACTGACAGCATTTAGACGCAGACTAGAATAATTCAAATGAATGGAATCATGAAAGGTGAGGGCAGGTTAAGGGGCAGTTGGAGTCTTGGTATGGTGGTGTCGGATAAGTACTGGACTACACACTGCAAGATCAGCAGTTCAAACCCACCAGTCATTCCTCAGAAACCCTATACAGGGTCACTATGAGTTGGAACCAACTCGACGACACTTAAAAACAGCAACATACTGGCAGCTGCCTGGGGCAGTAGGTTTAACAGGACACCAAATTCAGTATAAGTCAGAAAATTAATATGATTTAAGTATTATCAAAATATCAAGTAGTCAACATTACATTCATATTACAGAAAAACAGAAAAACACAGCTGCCATGGAGTCCATTCTGACTCAGAGACTCCAGGAGTGTCCGAGTAGAACTGTGCTCCTTAGGGATTTAAACGGCTGATTTTTCATTAGCAGATAGCCAGGTCTTTCTTCCAAGGCACCTCTCTCTGGGTAGACTCCAACTTCCAACCTTTTGTTCAAGCAGCTAATCAGGTTGACTATCCCCAAGGGCTCCATAAGTATAAACTATGGACCATGACACTGTGGCATAGTAAGTGGGGGTCACAGAAGCTCGCCGCTCTGCTAGATGGTTCCAGACAACTTACAAAAGGCTTCATTGCAAGTAGGAACCCTTGTGAGGGAGTGGTGAAGGCAAGTTGGATAGACCAATTTGCCTCATAGGACCGTGGCACCCATTAGGAGGTATTTACTGACAAGGGCCACGTATATTTTTATTACATTACTTTCCTCAATTTGTTATTTGAATTACAGTAAATGAATAAGTAGACTTTTCTTTTTCATTCTGAAGCTGTTATCTTAAAGGGTACCAACTCTCTCTTTCCCAGGCCCTGAGTTGAGGCTCTGAGTACCATGAACGGTCCTGGAGTGATTTCAGATTTGGGTGGAGGAGAACGTGTGTATAGAATTTAGGTATAACTGCTTCAAGAAAATGGACTTTGTCCAGACATTCTGACCCTGCTGGCAGATGCTTTTGCTCTCTTGCCTTGGGTAATACTTCCTAGTACACCAAGGAAATTGTACTGATAACAACCTCCCAAATCCCAAGAGGCCTTAGAAAAAGGATAGATATCTACAAATCCAGCTCTCGGCTTAACGGTTCCAAGATCAGAAAGAAAGTTCAAAAGAAAAACCTTTATTCATGCAAGGAGCTGAGCAAAGGCAGATCCCCTGTGAAGAGATACAAGGTTGAAATAATTCTTGTGAATGAGGCACAATGGAATTAACTCACTCTCTGTTCATCTCTGCTGCCCCAGTGCTTCCAGGGCCTTGTTTAATCTTTGAAGTTGTGAACAGAATACTCCTGGATTCAGGGTATGTAAACTGTCCAAATAAATACTTATAACGTCACAAAATTTTCTAATTGGTACAGAAAATACCCCAAACTCAAAACCAACATGTATTGTATCAGTTCACATGGCCAAGAATGTCTTAGGCTTCTTACAGTTTTCTTTTCACTACGGGTTTCTGTGAGTTTACATATAAATATTGCATTTATTTTATGTTGAATTTGATTTAAAAATCAAGGTATTAAGGGAATATTGTTGTTGTTAAGTGCCATTGAGTCGGTTCCGACCCACAGTGACCCTGTATAGGTTATCTGAGGAGCAGATGATGAGGTTGAACCACCAATCCTTGCAGTTCAAACGGCTTTGCAGTCTGACTCATTAACCCACAGCACCACTTAAGGGGATAGGGTAAAGTTAATTAGTCTAAAATTGACCTAAAAACTATATTAGTAAAGCATAGGGAACTGTTGTTGTTGTTGTTAAGAGCCACTGAGTCGATTCCGACCCATAGCGACCCTGTATAGGGTTTCCAAGGAGCAGCTGGTAAGCTTGAACCATTGACCTTGCTGTTCAAAGGACCTTGCAGTCTGATGCATTAGCTCACAGCGCCACACCAGGACTCCCACTGTACATATATATGGGGTGGGGGGAGAGTAAAGGTAGATGATTTAAACCCACACCAAGGTGCCTCCGAAGAAAGACCTGGCAGTCTGCTCTGGAAAGACCACAGCCATGAAAATCCTCAGAAGTACAACTCATGGGGTCACTACAAAGCAGAATGGACTTGGCAGGAACTGGTTTGTTTTTTGGTCTGGATGCTGCAGACGGTTAAGTATTGGGCACTTAAATTATTGCAGTGTAATCATTTGCATGATTTTCAGTGCCATAGTTGTTGAAAGCTGGATATTAGAATTTTAAAAGTGGTATATCTTATTCTGAACTGCTTAGTGCTTTATAATGGCAATAATATTGGGTGCATTATGCATTAATAATGAAAATTACATTGGCAATATAGTTGTGGTAATGGAACATTCTGAAATGTATGGCCACCGCTAATAGACAAACTGAGAGGGAAAACCATGTTTTATTCACAGCGTTTTTGTTGTCTGTGCTGTCAGATCAGAATGCAGGGAGCCCTGGGCTGCACATTGTGGATAAACCTAACCAGTGTGGATGGAAGTGGGGCTTCTCAGGGACTGGGATCAAAGGATGGTGATGGTGGGGAGGTTGTGTTACACGGATATTTGAAAATACTTTTTATTCTTTAGAATAGATCCGCATTTTGTAAATGAAAATTGGATTTTCAAAGAAACATAATCTGCTATATAATTCAGTCTAATAATTTGATTCCTTTCTAATTGTTCATAACTTGTGACTGAGAGTTTATTTTAAAATGTTTGGAATGTATATATGTATGGGATAGATGTGTAGAGATAATAAACAAGGATTTTGTTGTTGTTAAGTGCTGTCGAGACAGTTCCGACTCATAGCAACCCCGTCTAGGGTTTCTGAGGAGCGGCTGGTGGGTTTGAACCTCTGACCTTAAGGTTCAAACTGACCTTGAAGACCAGTGCATTTTCCTACAGCACCACACCTTGTACCTAAAATATTCATTGTACATAGTTCCTCAGTATCAGAAAGGGCTTAGTTCCAGGACCATTCCCTCACCCTTCTGCACGGACACCCAAATATCCGAATGCCTAAGTCCCGTATACAAAATGGCATAGTATTTGCATATATCCTACACACTTCCACCCATTTACTTTCAGTCATCTCTAGATCACTTATGATACATCATACAATGTAAATGCTATGCAATAGCCCTTTACACTCCCTCCTTACCTTTGAGGGATTGCTTTGACCACTCAAATGCTTTTCTTCCTTGAATGTTTTCAATATGAGACTGGTTGAATCCGTGGATGTAGAACTGTGAATATGGAGGCTGACTGTATGTATATACCATATTGTACCATTTGCTGTCTAATCCATTTTGAATGCTGGCATTCAAAGAATGTTCAGAGAAGGACTGCACACCATAGGGTTTTCATGGCTGTGACCTTTCAGAAACACATCACCAGGCCTTTGTTCCGGGTGACTGAACCATCAGTTACAAATATATGGAGACAATGATAGTTATCTTCTGTCACTCCCTGAAGCAACCGGTGCAGACAACTCCAAACTCTCTAGGTGCCAAAGTCAGGCCAAGTCAACAAGTCACAAAGAAGAATTAAAACCACCCTTGTGGAATCTCTGGATTGCATTCCTCTGTCCTTCTCAGACATGCCCAGCAGCTGCAAGATGTCTATGACCCCCTCCTATTTTTCATGCACGTCCCTCTCTTTCCCTCGGCACTCCTCCAGCCACTCAACATGCATTCAGCTACCCCACCCAACTTTTCTCTTTAAGGGGTCTCTCCGGCAGAGAGCCAGAATTCATTACATGGTGACTGCCTTTCAAAAGGGCAAAAATGGAAGCTGCAAGAT